AAAAATTGAGATCGTTAACAATTGTCAATATTCTCGCTGGATATTCAACAATTACTTGGAAGACGTTTTTATGTAAAGATTGCTTTGTGATGACAAAAAAAATTAGTTTTAATTTTATAAAACTTTAAAAAAATTCTTTCGAAAATATTTAATTTCAACATTTAAAATTTTATTTTCTAAATTCGGTTTAGTACTGTTTGAAAAATATCGATTTTCTTATTTACAAATAACAAAATAGCTTTTTTTATGTAAATTATTTTAAATTATTTCACTCTGTATATCATTTGCTTGATCTCCTGTCAGGACTAGTGTTATTGATGTTTATTTAGTCATGAAATGTTATCATTTTACACTAGAGGAAACGATCTTTTTGTGCTTATTTTTAAATCAGAGAGAGTGTAAAAATCATTTTCATGAAAAATATTCCCTTGTCCTTTCATAAAGTTGAATTATGTAAAATTGTAAATTGACATTCATTTAAATTGAATAGAGGCCTCTAAAAATAGAACGTTAAATTATCAATAATCTTTCTTGATAGAAAATTAGCATTTAAAATAAAAATCGATACAGTTCTGTATAAAAGGATTAAACGAATATTCTAAAATTTTTTGTAGGTAATATTTTATCATCTCAACAGGTTATTCGATATTTTTCATAGAAAGGTTATTACTCCTGAAACTTTCAACTTAACAAAAAAAGAAAATCACTTAGGCAGACAATTTTTCATCACTCGTATCTTTAATATTTTTTTGGAGTATGTTGTCACCGTAGTAGCATAGATAGTAAAGGAGTGAATTTATACCAATTTCAAGATGTTCCCTGGCGACCCGAATCTTGTCACTATTGACGTGGAAGTTTGTCCCAAAGATAATAAACGGACTGTCAACTTGTTTCGATTTTTACCAAATAAGAACGATGAAACATACTTTCCTCTATAGGCGACAGATTTGACTGTCAGAACCTGTAGCTGTCATATCCTTCTACTATCAAACCAATAATATCTAAACATCGTACAATAACATGTTGCTGTCTTGAATCTTGTTTTGTTGTTATTATCAAAAATACAGTGTATATATATATATTATTGATTTATAATTTTTTATTGTTAAATTAAATTAAACGTTTCATTCAAGGAAATTATCGAATTTTTAAGACTAAATTCAATAAAACAAACTCAAGAGGATATAGGAAAAAAAGAAAAACATTTTTCCAGTACAGGTATTAAATACATGAAACCATTTACATGTCTCGCAACTTTAAACAAGTTCACGCTAAATTATTTGGCCCATTTTATATGGGTACATCTGAACGCATTATAGACTCTAGTTGATTGAACTGCCATGTCTTAAGTGTGATTGATGACTAGAAGAGATTCAATATCACTTAACTATCATCAACCAATACCAGATAGAAATGGTACGCTGGTGCCAAAACTGTAAATCACTTTCATTAAAGATTAAGTTACATTTAAATTAAACGAATAATTAAGCAAGCAAACACTCCTTTACCCTAATTCTGAACTATTCCTCATCTCGTTTCGTCAACGTACTGTTTAACCTATTCCTCTATCTTGAAATCATTTTCTCTTTCTCCATTTGTGTCCCGATAGTAATATTCTTCGCTCAGTCTCCAGAGATCTATCATTTATCTTCCAAGAATAGTTATTTACTGAGAGTGCCGCAAGGGAGTTCTATGCTAGTCTATCAATGCAGTTCTCAGTATTTGCTATTCGCTTTCTAATGGTGAAAAACCTTATCATTATCATGTAGATGATTTCATTTATCATTTCAGTTCATTTACTATTTTAATTTCTATTTGTTCATTGTTAAAATCGAGTTCGTAAGCAATCGAGTTAATTACGTAATTACCAGAAAGATACTTTCTAATTTTTACTCTATTGTGCTATATAAAGTATATAAAATATGAATTTTTAGACAGCGATCAAAATATAGGCATGTGAGATATCTAGTTGTTGTCATCAATCGTTAAGCATAGTTAAGAATTTGATAAGATTTGTTTTAATCCGCTTCGAATTGTGGTATTATTCTCCTTCATATTATGAAAGTCGAGGATAATGCATCTCACGCAAATTACTCATGATTTTCTTAAATTTTAATTATTTAACATGCTTTTCTCTAAAAATTCAAATGAAAAGTAAAACGAGATTTTTGTATACATAATCCTACACAAAAAAACGCATATTTGAAATGTAAAATTAATACTAATATTTGTAAACTCAATTATGTTTTCATTTCGAATGATGATATGTTTTCGTGGTATAAGCCTCAATTAGGTTTTAAAGATAAATTTTTGTTAAAGGAAACTTCTATAATTACAAAACGTAAGTCAATATGTAAGTCTGTCCATCCCCCTAGCAACAATTAAATGAAAAGTATTCATCATTTAGAAACGAACTGATAAAATGATGCGACGATAGTAATGGTGATGTTAAGTTAAAAGCATTCTTCTCGTCCATTTGTTGCTATGGAGACAGAAAAATGCAAAGGCACGACTTGTGAAAAATAGGGAGACATAGGACAGTACTCAAGTTCGCTGTTTCTTACAGTAAGGTAAGATCATATTGATCAATGTCCATTACTTTGCCATATACTCCGCTTCCATTATGGCTGACTGATGTCAGATACTCGTATATACTCTCTTATCTCGTTCAGACTAACTTCTGACATCACCTTTCTAACTTCTATACGACATACTCAAATTTAAGAAATAAAAGCATTATATTGAAAAATGTTTATGTCAATTTTTCATATAAACTTGTATAAAATATATAAGGAGTGTGTTTTAAATTAATTTTAAGGCTTTCCTACAGAAAACTTTTTCTGTTGATTTTTCTTTAATTTTAGTAAAACACAATTATATTTATATTTCTTCTTGAAAATCTTACAGATTTATAGATATTTACATTTATAGCTTATTTAAGTTTTAATAGTTTTTAATTTAAAAACTGTTAATACTTGGAAACTAATGTAATAAAACTTAATAAATAACTAATGCAACAAAGGTATTAATTTAATTTAAACTAGTTTTAACTATTAACTAAGTTAAACTATAACTAACATATTTTTAATTATATAAGAGCAGAGTATCTTTGTTCAATTCCGTTCGTTAAATTAAACTGAATAAAATATAACTTTACAAATCAAACTACAGAAAAATCGATATTTTTTTCTCCTACTACGTCGAATTTATATTGAAAAAAAAATTAATTTAAATTATCAGTAAATTTACACAAAACAAACCAAATATAGAAGCGAAATATAATTTTGTACTACGAGAATTGAAATTTTGCAAAAAGAATATTCAATAAATTGAAAATCAAAAACAGGCAAGTAGAAAATAAAAATGCATTTTATCAAGAGAAACTTATAAAGAAAAGATTCCATTCAACTCACGAATATCTAGAAAAAATTTTTTTTCTATACAAAATAGTTTACATTTCCGAATAATACGAAGAAAGGAAAAAAAAAGTTAATTCGAAGAACATCCAAGAAAATATCATTAAATTAATTCAAAATTTGTATCCCCTTTTCTCTTTTATACTTTTAAAAATGTATTTAATTATTTAAAAAAAACGGTATTTTAAAACCCATTCATTCAATAATTTTTACATAACTTAAATTTCTAAAAATTCAATAACAGCAATGTTTATAAGAACAATTACTGTAAGAAATAGAGGACAAGATGATATAGAGTTTCAATTAAACGCAAGAGAATTTATCTAAAATACAAAATAAAAGAAAAGTAAACTACCTTATAACACATACGTATAAAAAATTGAATATTATATAACTATGTATTTATAGTTTAACTCTGTGTAAATGATATTTTATTTTAAAAACAGAGAGCTATTATTAAGAAAATTGTTAAAAATATTGAAAAAATTCTTTCGGTTTATTTTAAAATAGTAACGATACAGCCTGTATTAAATGTATGAGAATTTAATACAATCAAATTGAAAAAAGAAAATAAAATTTTCCAAAATAATTTATCACCAAACTGCATAAAAATCAACGAGATAAAATCATTTCATAATGCATTTTTTTTTCTTATTGATATATCTCCCTAATAATAGAAAACAGAACACGATTCTAAAAAGGAAAATAAAGTTTATGAAAATAGAAAAATTCAATTGAAGAGGTATAAAATATAATAAAAAAGATTCTTTTTAAATTATTAAAATTGTAAAATATATTTTATTATTAATAATTAGAAAAAATATATTTAAAAATGAAAAATTTTAACTACAAAATAAAAGATTTTATTCGTACAGAACATTATTTAGTCCGCATAAAAATATCTTATTAATTAATAATTAAAACTTTAAACATTATTTTATATAAAGTATTTTTGTTTAATTAACCGAATTTACGAACGGAAAGATAATATGTTATAAATATTGTATATAATAAGGCACAACTTACATAAAATGTTTAAAAGTTTTAACTTTTTATTTGAAAATAATATAAATTCTATAAAGAATCTCGTAATGCTGTTTCTTNACGTTCGAGTCAATTAGCATAGGTATTTATATGAATCGTAAAATATATAGTTAATTATCGCATGAATATTTATTATGAATTATCATTCATGCATCATTTAATGTAAGAAGAAGCTAAGTAAATTTGCAAAGTTTATATAATTAAAACTTGTATTATGTTAATAAGGCACAACTTACATAAAATGTTTAAAAGTTTTAACTTTTTATTTGAAAATAATATAAATTCTATAAAGAATCTCGTAATGCTGTTTCTTGTTACCGTAATGAAGTAAATATGAAGTGGCTTGGAGTCTTTGCTCTGTATCAGATACAATAAATTGATGTCTTCCAAGTAAATGCACTCGTACATCTTGACAGAGCTGGTATAATACGGCCGACATCATTTTCAATATGTTTCTAATAAGGACAGCAAAGAAAGTTACCGGAGAAACTATTCAGATGATTTCACATATAATCAGATATGTTATATTTTCTGTTACAGTTGTCAAACAACCGTACAAGATTCAAGTTTTCGATGAATTTACTATTTACGGGAATACAGCTGTATTGAAATGCAGCATTCCAAGTTTTGTTAGAGATTATGTTATGGTGACTTCTTGGATTAGAGATGACTCCATCAATGTCATTTCTTCGGCTGAAAGAGGTGAATATATTTATTTATTTTTTTTTTTTATTAAATTTATAAAATGTTTCTTTTAAAATTTTTTCTATTATTAAAATATACTTTATTAAACGTTATATCGTTTTATATCTTCAAATTGAATTATGTATTTATCTTGTAATGTTTATATATAATTTAGGATTACCTTACGCGGTTTAAAACGTTACATAATTTATAAAATTATTCAATATTTTATATAAAATATCAAATTACATTTTTGACATTAATGGAAAGATATCACGTTTCAATTTTTGATCCAAGTATAAAAAAAGATTTTATATATCAATATATAAAAAACAATATGTTTTATCGTTTTTCTGGAAGTATGTAACCTGTAACATCTATGTTTTTTTTTATTATTTTTTTTCGTATTTTTGTTACATTTTATTTTCACTATATGACTAGCCATGTTAAATCTTTAACCGACAAAACACTTCTTTCTGAATGGTTTGGGAAAAGAGTGGTATAAAGAGGAAAAAAATATATAACGCTTGTAGTGTCTCTAGGGCACAATTCTTTGTCTTATCCTATATTCTTCTTTATTGCTGAAGTCTACAGGGAAATACAACCACAGTTACCTGTCTAAAAAGTAATAAATTGCTCACCTGTTGTGCGTATATTCGTCTATATGTATATAAAGACGTCTTAAAGTTTGTTTCAAGACTATTTCCTCCTATTAAAGTTTTAAAAATAGATTACTTGTTTGCATTTTATATGCTTTAGTTGAGTTATTTTTTAATTTTCAATGAAGGAAATAGATATTCATTCTTCTTAAATAAGATAAAATTACATTTTTAGTCTTTTAATGAGAAGAAAATACTTTTATATGGCTTTAAAATGAAGTAAAAGAGTATGGGCTTTAGCAAAGATTTTTTTTTATGTTAAAAGTAAGGAAAATAAACCGCTTTAGAATTTTAATGAAGAAAAAAAACTATATATTTTTTATTTTATTTTATAAAATAAAAATATTATTTTCCTAAACTTTAGTAATGGATTAAAGTAGTGCTTTAATTTTTTAACAAAATAAAATATTTTTGCTTGAAAAATTCTAGGAAAAATCTTGTATATACTTTAAAGCAGAAGAAAATACTTTATTCTCACAAAATAAGAAAACTATTTCATTTTATTTTGAGAAATAATCTCGTATTAAAGAGAAAAAAACGAATTGATTTTTCGTATTTTCATTAAGGAATGATATTACAATCTAAATTCCAGGAAACAGAACCTGTCTAATTTTATTAATGAATAAAAATACTAATATATTCACAAATGAGAAAAGTACTAATTATCTCTCTTATTTAATACGAAATGATTAATTTTATAATTCTTGAATTAATTAATTTCATTTACTTAAAAATGCTTTTTTTAAAAAAGTAAATATAACTCCATTTTTAATGGAAAATGTTCTTTCAAACAAAGAAAAAAGATCCTTCAATTTTTCCAACAAAAAATAGTAATTCATTTTTAAAATATAGAAAAATAGGGCCTGGTCCTCCATCTTTTTAATGGAAGAAAATACTTCATTTTTAAAATAGAGAAATAGGATCTAGCCTCCATTTTAATAGAGAAAGAATCTAGTTTCTTAAAGAAGAGCAAGGGGGAGAAAAATCTTTAGAAACAATTCTTCAAGTTTCATTTCATTAAAATTATATGAAAAATTAATGGATGGCAAAATCGTTTTTTAAAAATAATGAATTATCAAGTTTCTTAACAAATAATTAATTTTATTTCGAGTAAAGTTTGTTTACCATCTCATTTTACACCACTTTCATAAGCTATGATTATTGTGAAACTAATTGCGTCCACTTATGTCACTATAGTAGCTAGTGTAGCATTATGATTCTAGAGGGATTGATCAAACCCAGTATCACAAGAGATTTAAAGGATTATTTTAGGATATGAGTTTGCTATTATAATACTAAATTACATGATAATTTACATACACGTTCGAGTCAATTAGCATAGGTATTTATATGAATCGTAAAATATATAGTTAATTATCGCATGAATATTTATTATGAATTATCATTCATGCATCATTTAATGTAAGAAGAAGCTAAGTAAATTTGCAAAGTTTATATAATTAAAACTTGTATTATGTTATAAGTATAAAGAAATGTTTTAAAATATTTTCTTTAAAACTATATAAAGATTTAAATATTTTAAAAATATATTGCCATTACAGGGATTAAAATTGAAAAAAAATCTGAAATCACGTCCTTACATTTCTGATACGATACGATGCAAATTTTATATTTTAATCTACCTTAGTCTGTTTTAATCCTTCAATAATGCATTGCAGTTTTCTCCAAACCTAATTAAATCCTACTGGAATTTCCATGTTTCCACTAGGAGGAAAATATAGCGTATTTCCAACAGGAGAACTACACATAAGAGGAGTAAGTGTTGAGGATGGATTTAAAACCTATCGTTGTGTGACGAGGAATAGAATAACTGGTGAAATACAGCCAAGTAGTTCAGCTGGGAAACTTATTGTCACAGGTACAATAGTTAAGCTTTATAAATGTTTCCTGACTTTACTAATTAAGATACGACTAATATAAGTGGTTACTTCTCGTCTGTACTGAAATAAATTTGGAAATTATCATCTGGACTACGTCTATTAAGCATAATTGGTTTGATATGTTTCCGGTTTTGCAAAGAATATTATTATTTCAAGATTTAGCGGAAAATAATTAAAATAAATTTTAGAAAATTTTTATCTTTTATCCTAGTATAAATTTATTTTAATTTTGTTTAAGTAACAATGATTCTTTGCGCCAACTTGTATAAGAGTAAAGTGTGTTATTTTAATATTATAATTTATATTTATTATATAAAATAGTAGGATTGTTACAGTGAGATTTTAAACTGATATATTGCTTTTTTTGAAATTATCCAGATTCTCACAGTAGCGTTTCTCCTAGAATTACACACAGCAAATCAAAAATCCAAGTTGATAAAGGACAGACAGTAGAATTGCCTTGTGCTGCACAAGGCTATCCTGTACCAACTTATACGTATGCAATTTTTTAAAAAAAATAATGCGTATCTATCTGAAAAACTTATAATTCTTAGAAATTTATATAATTTTTCTTTATATAAAATGCATTAGGTGGTATAGAGTGAATGATAATTATTCCCGTCCTCCATCAAGAGTTCAACTCAGCGGTAGGATAACACAATTGGATGGCACATTAATTGTGCGACAAACAAATTTAAATGATAATGGAAAGTATATTTGTGCCGTTAATAACAGTAATGGCCAAGAAAAAGTAGAAACGGAATTATTAGTTAGAGGTAAGGAACTATTGTTTGAAAAAAAAGCATAAATACCAATAATAATAATTCATGTTGATAAAATTATTTAAATTTTAACATAATTATTAAGAATAAAATTATTTTTAATATAAAAAAATGAAACATATGCTACCACCATTAACATTTTAATGTTAAAAATAAATTGTTTAGTTGTTATATATTTAATCGTTCTCGAGATTATTCTCATAACAACAGTAGAAAAGTCCATTTACATTATTAGAAAATTCGAATGTTTTAAGTACTGAGAAAAGAACATCAACAGTGGCATTAAACCCCAAACCATTCTAGGAAAGACAGACAATCTTCAAGATACGACTTTTGCAACAAAGATAAGAACATTTAAAAATTTTTCCTCAACTTCCTTTCGTTTTATGACAAACAGTAGCCACAAAATGTTTACCACGTTCAAAAGATTGGTAGTTTGTTTCTGCTAAAATGAACAAAATAACATAAAACTTTTAAAAGTGAGTGTAAATTACTTTTTCCTTTTTATTATCAAAACACTTCTTACACATTCACCACACATTTGATTCTTAATCTATGCTAAAGAAAAAAAAAAATAGATAAAGAACTTTATAGTTTATTTAAAGAATATAATTTATTTCTCACGAATTACTTTAAGTACACTTTAAAAAAATTAAAATAAAAAAAAATTGTTTTATTACTTTCGAGCAATACACGACCTTAATTATAATTAATATTAAACATTTATTTAAGATATCCAAATTAAAAACGGAGTTATTTAATGTCTAAATTGATTAGATATGATTTAAAACGATATCGGTCGTAAATTGTTTATATAAATTATGTAATAATAGTTTTAATGTATTGACTAGTTAAAATTATACCTGAGAGAACTAATTTATTTAATTATCCACAAATTGAACATTAATAAATTAAATTTAATGTCCTTAGAAACATTAACGGTTCATGTTGATCCACCTTATCAAACTGTGGATGTTGGTAAATCGGCAACATTCGTTTGCAATGTGAGTGGTCATCCAATTCATGCAATTAATTGGAAGAAAGATCTTCAACCGGTCTTGAATGCTGGAAGATCTATTGTCACTCGAGATACGTTACGAATAAGCACAGTAGAAAGAGAAGATAGAGGGATGTACCAGTGTTTTGTATATAACGATAAAGAATCGGCTCAAGGAACATCACAGCTCATTCTTGGAGGTAAATAACTTCGTTAAGCATTAAAGTCAATTTATAAATTTCACATTTATTGCATAAACGAGTAATTTAATTGATAAATTGAAGCGTACCTACCGAGCTCTGTAAACAAACGGATGACATTTTAAGCGTAAATTATCAGAGCTTCCTATATTATTTAACGTTCTTTAATTAAGAAACATGCTTCTATTAGATAAAAGTTAATTGGAATGACCTGATTTAATTATTATTAAGTTAATATAAGTTATATAAATAAATATGTTTTCAAAATAAGAAATATTTATTTAAAGTTATAAACATTAATAAATCATTTATTTAACTTAAAAAGTTTACATTAAGAATTCTAAATTTTAGTGCTAAAACGATATATTTGATGATATTTAAAATACTTCTAATTCTTGAAATTAAAAAAAAAATGATTTAATAATAATTGTTAAATAATTTACGTAATTTTTTAAAATAATAAATGAAAGATTTTGATTATTAGTATAAAAATTAAATTAAAATAAATGATTTTACATGAAATTTTTATAAAAATCATTTATCTTAATTTAATTTTTACCACGTTTTTAATAAATTATATTAAGCATGTTCATATAAACTATTACAGCGGTAATTTAAGTTTTACCATTGCAATTAAAGTTAATATAATTAATATAATTTTTAAAATTATAAAATATTAAATTAAATATTATTATCCGGAAATAATTGATGATATGGAAATAATGCATATAATAAATGAGTGCATTCGCATGAATAAATAAAAATATAAATTATAAAAGATGAAAAATTATGAAAGGATGAAGGATGATTCAATAAGCATTATAATGGTGAGTTTCATCCATTATAATTTTGTTATGAAAATTATAATTCTAAACTTGATTTTCAAAAATAAATGCTTAAAATTTTCATTATATTCGCTTAATTTTTATGGTTTATATTCACTATAAATAGTAGACGTTTACGGTAAAATTTGAAAATATAAGTTAAACGATTACTTGTGCTATAAATACTATTAAATATCAAATTTAATATAAATGAAGCAGCCTATTCCAATTCCAATGTGATTCATTGTCGAAAATAAAAGTTAATTTAGCATTAAATCAACCAAGATCACTAACTTGCTCTTTTCTCATGACAACTTTATTAATAATGCAAAACGATTGTTTCAAATGTTACTTCTCTACAACAAATTCGCTATCATTAATTTTTCATTTACTCGAAGACAAATAATTGGCAATTTTGTTCAATTATTGGTTTAAATAATATAGAATCTAAATTTACCATGTTTATCCTAATAATGTAAAACATTCGAGTTAAAGTAAACAATGAATGTAGAAATGCACATAGCAATTCCATTAGAAGGAAATATTAAAGATTTTAACATTTGATTAAAATTATACTTAGAATTCAAATGTATAATAATAGCTTTTCGTTTCTAAAGACTAATTCAATTGTTTTAAATATCATAATGCATAAACAAACAAATTTGAAAGACTATTCACTATGTGCGCTATTAATCCAAATAGTAATTTAATATATAATTTTTGATTTTATAATGGATCTGAAGTGCATGAAAAGCAAGCTTGGTTTAACCTTTATAATAGTTTAGATGTATGTGAGCAGGTGTACTAAATAAAATGTATCCTTCATTAATTAAACGATTAAGTTAATATAGAACGTGTTGTTTATATTAAATGCTACGTTTGCTTACATAAACACTTATGCGGTATATAAATTTATAGATTAATCTAATGTAAATTTATATTATAATGCATAATAATCATCAATTCGAAAGATTTCGAATTTTTGTTAAAATCGTATAAAAGAATTTCTGAATATTGGATTATGAAAAATAGAGCCATTTCCTCTTTAAGTTTATTTGTAATTTCCGTTTTAATTAAATTAATTACATATGAAATGTCCATCCTCTTCATTTCTCATTAATTTTGTGCTGTTGGGCACTTCCTAACATCATGCATTTTCGAAGTGTCAAACTCTTCTATAAATGCTTAAATTTGTTTGCTTAATTTCCTCTCCGGTTACAGAAACAGATAAAATTAAAGAAAATAAAAAAGAATTTAAACAGTTATAGTATCGAATTTATCCTTTTAGAGATAAAATATAATTGTTTTAAATTAATTTTTATAAGTTACTTCAGTCATGCGTTATTCCACGCTACGATCTATAGTTTATCGTGTTTAAATAAATAAAAACATAAAAATATAACTTAAATTTTAATAATAAACATCTGTAGGATATATATTATGGTTTATTATTACTAAAATCGAATTTTGCTTAGCGCAAACAGGCGATTTATCAGGTTTCTATCTATCTAATGGGTGGAAACAAATAATAAATTGTAAGTAGCTTAATGGTTATGGTTTGTTCATCAACATGTCAAAGTTATTCCGATAGTAATAGAATTAAATCCGTAAAGGATAAAACACAACGCGAAATATTTTAATATTCTTACCTGCCACTAATTCAAAATCCTCTTAAACAATCCACTTGCTTCTAGCAATGTTTCTATAAATTATTCCTTTAATAAAGCTTATTTTGAAGATTAAGAAATTATAAAACTCTTATAAACAAATCGCATTAGCCTATTATTTAAAATTATTATATTTAAATTAATATAAAGCCTTCGTTTATGCACGAAAATAAAGAAAATTCTTTGTAATCTATTAGCATTTTTTGAAAAAAACCAAGAAACTAATCTTATTATCTTTCTTATCGCAAGCTCTTCTATGGACGATCTTCCATAACTCTTAACTCAAAATATTCTCTTTACTACATCTCGATTACTATCATCACAGGACATTTATTATAGGCTTAATGTTAGGGTTTAAATTTCTTGAGAGGTGGATTAGAGATAAAATTTATGATGTTTTTTTATTCATAATGCAATGAATGAAGATGTGTTGAGTACTGCACACGTGGGACTTAGTATCTCTTTTTAAGATGAAAGTCACAGTGTTCGTTTTATTGTAATAACAAGTTTAAAAACATATATTGTTCCTTACTGTTTAAAATTCATTATAGCAATAGTTGTAACGAAAAATTTCTGATATGAAATGACATAGAATTAAATAGGAATTTCTTCCTTTTATAGCGAGGCAATAATTTATAAAAGTTTATTCTTAAATGGACAGATATGTTACAGAATCTTTCCTTATTTATTAATTCTTTATTCATGATATTTTTGAATTTATATTGTTTACAGTTTTGAATTAATTAAGTCAGATTGCAGCTCTTTGTTCTTGGTTATTTGATAAAACAAATCACGATGATGCATAGAAACACATTAATCAGAAAACAATAAAATTTGACAAATCATAAATTGTATAAGACTATTATATTTTGATTTTTTTTAATTTAAAAGTAGAAGTTTATAATTAAATATTCAAACATTTACCTACGAAGATATGCAATTTGATAAATTAATAAAGAAAATAATAAAATTATTCATAAACTCCAATTACATCTTTTCATTTACAATTTTAATCTTTTTTTTTTAAAACAGCTAAGTTGAAGTAGAATATCGTAGTTTTATCGAAATTTTAAAGGCTTAGATTTTATTACATCTATAACTATTTATAGACGTTTACATTTCAAAATTTTATATATTGTTTATAAGCTATTTATAAGCATAAAATAAATTATATTCAATTATATATTTATTATTAATTGAAAAAATGTAATTTGCCTGAGAGAATTATTTATAATTTATAGAAATTAGTTCATAAAATGAATATAAAATAACGAGGAAGTAGCTGATCTTTTTTAACTCATTTCCTTATTATTTTCTATTTACTTATGCAAACAATTTCATTAACTGTAGAGTTAATAAGCTCCGATTTAACTGTATGCATAATTTCTGTTGTGTAATTAAGACAGTAAAAAATATACTTATTAAAATTATAATGTATTACTTTAATTTCCTCGAGATCTATAAATGTAATAATATATTTCAATCATAGTTAAAAGATAGGAATACAAAAATGAATCAATAAAATTTATTTTAAAGTATCAAGCAACGCAATTTAATTAAATTGAAATCACCTTTATATTTTGTTCAGTAATCCAATTACATTTTTTAAAATATAGTCAAAAATAATTGCATTTAAATCTTTCATATTCTACTAATGCTAAAACATTAACTAGAATTAAACTTAATGAGAAATTAAGTAGGACTTTTAAATTTAATACTTCCAATAAGTAAATAGAAAATTTAAATTAATTACAAAATTTAATCAATTGTATTTCATTAATTGTAAATTTAAGAATTCTAATTGTAATTTTTGAATAAATATATTCCATTTGAAAATAAAAAAAGAATAGTTAAAAGGAACTAAATCTTTTATAGTTTATAGGATAAATCGTTTAAAGGAAATATATCATTAATAATTTGCGAATTGTTAAGTGAAAATAATCAAATTTATCAAAAAAAAATTTTCGAACAATTAAGCACTTCTTTATTGACTTATAAAAGCTTGTTTTATCGATGTGAGAAATAGAAATAAATNTAATAATAAACATCTGTAGGATATATATTATGGTTTATTATTACTAAAATCGAATTTTGCTTAGCGCAAACAGGCGATTTATCAGGTTTCTATCTATCTAATGGGTGGAAACAAATAATAAATTGTAAGTAGCTTAATGGTTATGGTTTGTTCATCAACATGTCAAAGTTATTCCGATAGTAATAGAATTAAATCCGTAAAGGATAAAACACAACGCGAAATATTTTAATATTCTTACCTGCCACTAATTCAAAATCCTCTTAAACAATCCACTTGCTTCTAGCAATGTTTCTATAAATTATTCCTTTAATAAAGCTTATTTTGAAGATTAAGAAATTATAAAACTCTTATAAACAAATCGCATTAGCCTATTATTTAAAATTATTATATTTAAATTAATATAAAGCCTTCGTTTATGCACGAAAATAAAGAAAATTCTTTGTAATCTATTAGCATTTTTTGAAAAAAACCAAGAAACTAATCTTATTATCTTTCTTATCGCAAGCTCTTCTATGGACGATCTTCCATAACTCTTAACTCAAAATATTCTCTTTACTACATCTCGATTACTATCATCACAGGACATTTATTATAGGCTTAATGTTAGGGTTTAAATTTCTTGAGAGGTGGATTAGAGATAAAATTTATGATGTTTTTTTATTCATAATGCAATGAATGAAGATGTGTTGAGTACTGCACACGTGGGACTTAGTATCTCTTTTTAAGATGAAAGTCACAGTGTTCGTTTTATTGTAATAACAAGTTTAAAAACATATATTGTTCCTTACTGTTTAAAATTCATTATAGCAATAGTTGTAACGAAAAATTTCTGATATGAAATGACATAGAATTAAATAGGAATTTCTTCCTTTTATAGCGAGGCAATAATTTATAAAAGTTTATTCTTAAATGGACAGATATGTTACAGAATCTTTCCTTATTTATTAATTCTTTATTCATGATATTTTTGAATTTATATTGTTTACAGTTTTGAATTAATTAAGTCAGATTGCAGCTCTTTGTTCTTGGTTATTTGATAAAACAAATCACGATGATGCATAGAAACACATTAATCAGAAAACAATAAAATTTGACAAATCATAAATTGTATAAGACTATTATATTTTGATTTTTTTTAATTTAAAAGTAGAAGTTTATAATTAAATATTCAAACATTTACCTACGAAGATATGCAATTTGATAAATTAATAAAGAAAATAATAAAATTATTCATAAACTCCAATTACATCTTTTCATTTACAATTTTAATCTTTTTTTTTTAAAACAGCTAAGTTGAAGTAGAATATCGTAGTTTTATCGAAATTTTAAAGGCTTAGATTTTATTACATCTATAACTATTTATAGACGTTTACATTTCAAAATTTTATATATTGTTTATAAGCTATTTATAAGCATAAAATAAATTATATTCAATTATATATTTATTATTAATTGAAAAAATGTAATTTGCCTGAGAGAATTATTTATAATTTATAGAAATTAGTTCATAAAATGAATATAAAATAACGAGGAAGTAGCTGATCTTTTTTAACTCATTTCCTTATTATTTTCTATTTACTTATGCAAACAATTTCATTAACTGTAGAGTTAATAAGCTCCGATTTAACTGTATGCATAATTTCTGTTGTGTAATTAAGACAGTAAAAAATATACTTATTAAAATTATAATGTATTACTTTAATTTCCTCGAGATCTATAAATGTAATAATATATTTCAATCATAGTTAAAAGATAGGAATACAAAAATGAATCAATAAAATTTATTTTAAAGTATCAAGCAACGCAATTTAATTAAATTGAAATCACCTTTATATTTTGTTCAGTAATCCAATTACATTTTTTAAAATATAGTCAAAAATAATTGCATTTAAATCTTTCATATTCTACTAATGCTAAAACATTAACTAGAATTAAACTTAATGAGAAATTAAGTAGGACTTTTAAATTTAATACTTCCAATAAGTAAATAGAAAATTTAAATTAATTACAAAATTTAATCAATTGTATTTCATTAATTGTAAATTTAAGAATTCTAATTGTAATTTTTGAATAAATATATTCCATTTGAAAATAAAAAAAGAATAGTTAAAAGGAACTAAATCTTTTATAGTTTATAGGATAAATCGTTTAAAGGAAATATATCATTAATAATTTGCGAATTGTTAAGTGAAAATAATCAAATTTATCAAAAAAAAATTTTCGAACAATTAAGCACTTCTTTATTGACTTATAAAAGCTTGTTTTATCGATGTGAGAAATAGAAATAAATTAAAATAATAAGACGTGAGTTACTTTTTTTGTATTATATCAAGAAATTAATACATGCCCTTAAATATAGTTTATAGAATGAATTATCTAACGAAAATTTTACCTTTATTTGTGAATTGTTAACTGAAAATTAAATTGCATTTTAAAATTTAATCAATTTATCTACTTTTTTATTGATCTAGAAGAACTTTTTTCTATCAGGCGATGAAATATAGATAACTCAAAGTGATACAGTAAAACCTGTGTAAACCGGAATTGCACAGTATCGAATAAATGTTTCCGTTTTAGACAGGTTTTACTGTAATATCACAAAAATAATTTAAGCTTAATACATCTTATAAATTGATAATTTTATAGAAATTAATAAATATAGTATTATATAATACACTTTACTTGTTGTTAACTAAAAGGAGAAAAAATACAATTTGCTATAAACATAAAATCATTGCTATTGCTCTAATTATTATAAAATATTTTAATTTAGTTAAAATAAAAATATGCTTGATTTATTCATCATCAACAGCATAATATTAAATATTATAAATGCATAATTATTCACACATTCAAACTGAATTAAATAATCATTTCTTTTCGTTATATTCTATTATTTATCATTTGAATATTGTATATTTTTATTATTTAACTTAGATATTTAAAATTCAATTTGGACAGAATAATAAATTTTTATATTCCTATACTTCACGCTTATCAAAATAAAAACTAAGAAAAGAAATTTGTAGAACTTTGTAACGAAACGGTAAAATTTTGAATATAAATAATATGAAAAAATAAGAAAAGATGATTTTGGAAAGCTGCCGAATACTTTATCAACTATAAAATGATCGAAAATATAGATTCTGTTATGCGTGTCGTGCAAGAAAGTACAGTACATTTAAGCAAGGCAGAAAGTCATTGAAAACTTGTTAACGTGACCTAACAGAGATGTTTCAACTAGCTAAATTCCTTACTGGTGAGCTTAACGTGTTATAATTAACAGAATCTTTATGAAATAACTTTTGTATATATAACTTATATTCTCGTTTAAAATACATATATAATTATACGATAGTAATTCGTGTTACTTCAGTTAATTTCTTTTCTTTATCTAAAATTTTTATCCTAAAATTTTGAATATAAAAAAGTTGAATAATTAAAAAAGTAAACAAATTTTTAAAATTTGAAAATTTTATTTTAATATTAACAATTTATTGAATTAGTATTTTAAATTTTTTTCTAGTATAATTATTATAAAAACGTTTGCTCATTTTCTCGACATATTTAATATAATCTACTCATTCAGAACTCTTATTAACATGTCTAAGTAGCAGTATTTATTAATAATAATTAATAATCACTGCTTTTAGTAGCAAATAGAGCGTGAAATGATTTTTTTTTTCTGTAAACAAAACTGAATTATTTTGACTAATTATATTCTCTGCTGACATTTTAAAATTTATTCTTCCATTTTTTTATGTTATATAAATCTTTAAAATTGCAATCATTTATTCTTTAGAAAACTATCATAAACATGAAGAAATAAGAAATAATTATTATCAGAACAGTATTTTCTGTCTATTTTTAACAAACTTCACATAGACCACCCTCTGATAAATGATTTGGTTATAAGAATTATCCAAAAAGGAATGGTGGGGTGTCTTCGTTTTCTGTATCATTTAAGCTCTAACGAGCTTCTTTTCTTTACCTTTCTTACTTCTTTAAATAGGAACAGTTTCTTTTTCAGTTCATCACAAAATGGAAATAATCCATTTATAGTTGTTGATTTTGATGCTTAAGATCTAAACTTATGCTTAGTTTATGAACTTATGCCATAAGAAAAAAATTTAAATCCATATTTACAAATAAATTTAACATTAAAACACTAAATAAATGGATATTTATAAAGAATTAAATTTTAATTTATTTGAAAAATATCTTTAAAATAGAATTTTACAGTGAAACAAAGTTTAAAATAGCTAGTTTTAATCAAGTAAAATTGTTTTCAAAAAGCGATAAAATAAATTAATTTTTATACAAGGTGATTAAAAATATAAAAGTGAATGTGATATATCTTCATNGAAATTATAAAACTCTTATAAACAAATCGCATTAGCCTATTATTTAAAATTATTATATTTAAATTAATATAAAGCCTTCGTTTATGCACGAAAATAAAGAAAATTCTTTGTAATCTATTAGCATTTTTTGAAAAAAACCAAGAAACTAATCTGTAATAATAGTTTTAATGTATTGACTAGTTAAAATTATACCTGAGAGAACTAATTTATTTAATTATCCACAAATTGAACATTAATAAATTAAATTTAATGTCCTTAGAAACATTAACGGTTCATGTTGATCCACCTTATCAAACTGTGGATGTTGGTAAATCGGCAACATTCGTTTGCAATGTGAGTGGTCATCCAATTCATGCAATTAATTGGAAGAAAGATCTTCAACCGGTCTTGAATGCTGGAAGATCTATTGTCACTCGAGATACGTTACGAATAAGCACAGTAGAAAGAGAAGATAGAGGGATGTACCAGTGTTTTGTATATAACGATAAAGAATCGGCTCAAGGAACATCACAGCTCATTCTTGGAGGTAAATAACTTCGTTAAGCATTAAAGTCAATTTATAAATTTCACATTTATTGCATAAACGAGTAATTTAATTGATAAATTGAAGCGTACCTACCGAGCTCTGTAAACAAACGGATGACATTTTAAGCGTAAATTATCAGAGCTTCCTATATTATTTAACGTTCTTTAATTAAGAAACATGCTTCTATTAGATAAAAGTTAATTGGAATGACCTGATTTAATTATTGTTAAGTTAATATAAGTTATATATATAAAGATTTAAATATTTTAAAAATATATTGCCATTACAGGGATTAAAATTGAAAAAAAATCTGAAATCACGTCCTTACATTTCTGATACGATACGATGCAAATTTTATATTTTAATCTACCTTAGTCTGTTTTAATCCTTCAATAATGCATTGCAGTTTTCTCCAAACCTAATTAAATCCTACTGGAATTTCCATGTTTCCACTAGGAGGAAAATATAGCGTATTTCCAACAGGAGAACTACACATAAGAGGAGTAAGTGTTGAGGATGGATTTAAAACCTATCGTTGTGTGACGAGGAATAGAATAACTGGTGAAATACAGCCAAGTAGTTCAGCTGGGAAACTTATTGTCACAGGTACAATAGTTAAGCTTTATAAATGTTTCCTGACTTTACTAATTAAGATACGACTAATATAAGTGGTTACTTCTCGTCTGTACTGAAATAAATTTGGAAATTATCATCTGGACTACGTCTATTAAGCATAATTGGTTTGATATGTTTCCGGTTTTGCAAAGAATATTATTATTTCAAGATTTAGCGGAAAATNTAATACGGCCGACATCATTTTCAATATGTTTCTAATAAGGACAGCAAAGAAAGTTACCGGAGAAACTATTCAGATGATTTCACATATAATCAGATATGTTATATTTTCTGTTACAGTTGTCAAACAACCGTACAAGATTCAAGTTTTCGATGAATTTACTATTTACGGGAATACAGCTGTATTGAAATGCAGCATTCCAAGTTTTGTTAGAGATTATGTTATGGTGACTTCTTGGATTAGAGATGACTCCATCAATGTCATTTCTTCGGCTGAAAGAGGTGAATATATTTATTTATTTTTTTTTTTTATTAAATTTATAAAATGTTTCTTTTAAAATTTTTTCTATTATTAAAATATACTTTATTAAACGTTATATCGTTTTATATCTTCAAATTGAATTATGTATTTATCTTGTAATGTTTATATATAATTTAGGATTACCTTACGCGGTTTAAAACGTTACATAATTTATAAAATTATTCAATATTTTATATAAAATATCAAATTACATTTTTGACATTAATGGAAAGATATCACGTTTCAATTTTTGATCCAAGTATAAAAAAAGATTTTATATATCAATATATAAAAAACAATATGTTTTATCGTTTTTCTGGAAGTATGTAACCTGTAACATCTATGTTTTTTTTTATTATTTTTTTTCGTATTTTTGTTACATTTTATTTTCACTATATGACTAGCCATGTTAAATCTTTAACCGACAAAACACTTCTTTCTGAATGGTTTGGGAAAAGAGTGGTATAAAGAGGAAAAAAATATATAACGCTTGTAGTGTCTCTAGGGCACAATTCTTTGTCTTATCCTATATTCTTCTTTATTGCTGAAGTCTACAGGGAAATACAACCACAGTTACCTGTCTAAAAAGTAATAAATTGCTCACCTGTTGTGCGTATATTCGTCTATATGTATATAAAGACGTCTTAAAGTTTGTTTCAAGACTATTTCCTCCTATTAAAGTTTTAAAAATAGATTACTTGTTTGCATTTTATATGCTTTAGTTGAGTTATTTTTTAATTTTCAATGAAGGAAATAGATATTCATTCTTCTTAAATAAGATAAAATTACATTTTTAGTCTTTTAATGAGAAGAAAATACTTTTATATGGCTTTAAAATGAAGTAAAAGAGTATGGGCTTTAGCAAAGATTTTTTTTTATGTTAAAAGTAAGGAAAATAAACCGCTTTAGAATTTTAATGAAGAAAAAAAACTATATATTTTTTATTTTATTTTATAAAATAAAAATATTATTTTCCTAAACTTTAGTAATGGATTAAAGTAGTGCTTTAATTTTTTAACAAAATAAAATATTTTTGCTTGAAAAATTCTAGGAAAAATCTTGTATATACTTTAAAGCAGAAGAAAATACTTTATTCTCACAAAATAAGAAAACTATTTCATTTTATTTTGAGAAATAATCTCGTATTAAAGAGAAAAAAACGAATTGATTTTTCGTATTTTCATTAAGGAATGATATTACAATCTAAATTCCAGGAAACAGAACCTGTCTAATTTTATTAATGAATAAAAATACTAATATATTCACAAATGAGAAAAGTACTAATTATCTCTCTTATTTAATACGAAATGATTAATTTTATAATTCTTGAATTAATTAATTTCATTTACTTAAAAATGCTTTTTTTAAAAAAGTAAATATAACTCCATTTTTAATGGAAAATGTTCTTTCAAACAAAGAAAAAAGATCCTTCAATTTTTCCAACAAAAAATAGTAATTCATTTTTAAAATATAGAAAAATAGGGCCTGGTCCTCCATCTTTTTAATGGAAGAAAATACTTCATTTTTAAAATAGAGAAATAGGATCTAGCCTCCATTTTAATAGAGAAAGAATCTAGTTTCTTAAAGAAGAGCAAGGGGGAGAAAAATCTTTAGAAACAATTCTTCAAGTTTCATTTCATTAAAATTATATGAAAAATTAATGGATGGCAAAATCGTTTTTTAAAAATAATGAATTATCAAGTTTCTTAACAAATAATTAATTTTATTTCGAGTAAAGTTTGTTTACCATCTCATTTTACACCACTTTCATAAGCTATGATTATTGTGAAACTAATTGCGTCCACTTATGTCACTATAGTAGCTAGTGTAGCATTATGATTCTAGAGGGATTGATCAAACCCAGTATCACAAGAGATTTAAAGGATTATTTTAGGATATGAGTTTGCTATTATAATACTAAATTACATGATAATTTACATACACGTTCGAGTCAATTAGCATAGGTATTTATATGAATCGTAAAATATATAGTTAATTATCGCATGAATATTTATTATGAATTATCATTCATGCATCATTTAATGTAAGAAGAAGCTAAGTAAATTTGCAAAGTTTATATAATTAAAACTTGTATTATGTTATAAGTATAAAGAAATGTTTTAAAATATTTTCTTTAAAACTATATAAAGATTTAAATATTTTAAAAATATATTGCCATTACAGGGATTAAAATTGAAAAAAAATCTGAAATCACGTCCTTACATTTCTGATACGATACGATGCAAATTTTATATTTTAATCTACCTTAGTCTGTTTTAATCCTTCAATAATGCATTGCAGTTTTCTCCAAACCTAATTAAATCCTACTGGAATTTCCATGTTTCCACTAGGAGGAAAATATAGCGTATTTCCAACAGGAGAACTACACATAAGAGGAGTAAGTGTTGAGGATGGATTTAAAACCTATCGTTGTGTGACGAGGAATAGAATAACTGGTGAAATACAGCCAAGTAGTTCAGCTGGGAAACTTATTGTCACAGGTACAATAGTTAAGCTTTATAAATGTTTCCTGACTTTACTAATTAAGATACGACTAATATAAGTGGTTACTTCTCGTCTGTACTGAAATAAATTTGGAAATTATCATCTGGACTACGTCTATTAAGCATAATTGGTTTGATATGTTTCCGGTTTTGCAAAGAATATTATTATTTCAAGATTTAGCGGAAAATAATTAAAATAAATTTTAGAAAATTTTTATCTTTTATCCTAGTATAAATTTATTTTAATTTTGTTTAAGTAACAATGATTCTTTGCGCCAACTTGTATAAGAGTAAAGTGTGTTATTTTAATATTATAATTTATATTTATTATATAAAATAGTAGGATTGTTACAGTGAGATTTTAAACTGATATATTGCTTTTTTTGAAATTATCCAGATTCTCACAGTAGCGTTTCTCCTAGAATTACACACAGCAAATCAAAAATCCAAGTTGATAAAGGACAGACAGTAGAATTGCCTTGTGCTGCACAAGGCTATCCTGTACCAACTTATACGTATGCAATTTTTTAAAAAAAATAATGCGTATCTATCTGAAAAACTTATAATTCTTAGAAATTTATATAATTTTTCTTTATATAAAATGCATTAGGTGGTATAGAGTGAATGATAATTATTCCCGTCCTCCATCAAGAGTTCAACTCAGCGGTAGGATAACACAATTGGATGGCACATTAATTGTGCGACAAACAAATTTAAATGATAATGGAAAGTATATTTGTGCCGTTAATAACAGTAATGGCCAAGAAAAAGTAGAAACGGAATTATTAGTTAGAGGTAAGGAACTATTGTTTGAAAAAAAAGCATAAATACCAATAATAATAATTCATGTTGATAAAATTATTTAAATTTTAACATAATTATTAAGAATAAAATTATTTTTAATATAAAAAAATGAAACATATGCTACCACCATTAACATTTTAATGTTAAAAATAAATTGTTTAGTTGTTATATATTTAATCGTTCTCGAGATTATTCTCATAACAACAGTAGAAAAGTCCATTTACATTATTAGAAAATTCGAATGTTTTAAGTACTGAGAAAAGAACATCAACAGTGGCATTAAACCCCAAACCATTCTAGGAAAGACAGACAATCTTCAAGATACGACTTTTGCAACAAAGATAAGAACATTTAAAAATTTTTCCTCAACTTCCTTTCGTTTTATGACAAACAGTAGCCACAAAATGTTTACCACGTTCAAAAGATTGGTAGTTTGTTTCTGCTAAAATGAACAAAATAACATAAAACTTTTAAAAGTGAGTGTAACAAAGAAAAAAGATCCTTCAATTTTTCCAACANGTAAGATGCCGTTCTATTTACTAACTGGAGATTTGATTTGGATTTCCATAATTATCACAGATAGTATGGACTTAAGC